CGACATGGATGGGAAAGTACACACATATAAAGCGTGATTGGTTGCGAAGGGCTTTACTCAAACTCCGGTAGTTGACTATGATGACACCTTCTCACCAGTAGCGAAAATTAAATCTATAAGGGTTATGTTGGTCATAGCTGCATTTCATAACTATGAAATATGGCAAATGGATGTCAAAACCGCTTTCCTTAATGGAAAGTTGGCTGAAGATGTTTACATAAGTCAGCCAGAGGGTTTTGTCAATGCAAAGTACCCTAATAGAGTGTGTAAGCTTGAAAAATCCATTTATGGATTGAAACAAGCATCTCGCAGATGGAATATTTGTTTTGATGAGAAAGTCAAAGAGTTTGAATTTTCAAGAAGCGAGGATGAGTCCTGTGTATATGTCAAAGCTAGTGGGAGTATACTTAGCTTTCTGGTATTGTATGTAGATGACATGTTGCTCATAGGAAACGACATCCCAACCTTGCAGGAGGTTAAGTCCTGGCTTGGGAAGTGTTTTGCTATGAAGGACCTCGGAGAAGCTGCATATATTCTAGGGATAAGAATATTAAGAAATAGAAGTAAAAGACTAATAGGACTTAGTCAAAGTACCTACTTGGACAACGTGTTGAAACGTTTCAGCATGGAGAACTCCAAGAAATGTGACTTACCTATCCAAAGCAATACCAAACTGAGTAAGACTCAGAGTCCGAGTACGGAGGCTAAGATAGCAGAGATGAGTCATATACCATATGCTTCTGCAGTTGGTTCGATCATGTATGCTATAACTTGTACTCGCCCTGATGTGGCCTTTGCTTTGAGCATGGTCAGCAGATATCAAGGGAACCCTGGTAAAGCTCATTGGACTGCAGTTAAGAACATTGTTAAGTACATGCGGAGGACTAAGGACTAGATTCTTACCCTCGGTGGGAGTGATGACTTGAGAATTACAGGGTATAGAGACACCAGCTTTCAGACCGACAGAGATAATTTCCGCTCTCAGTCGGGCTGGATATTTATCCTGAATGGAGGAGCAGTAACATGGAAAAGTTCCAAGCTGGAGAATGTAGCTGATTAAACATGTGAATCAGAATACATATCAGCAAGCGAAGCAGGGAAGGAGGCAATATGGTTTAAAAACTTCATCGGAGACCTTGGAGTAATTCCATCCATAAAGGAGCCTGTGGAGATTTTCTGCGATAATGAAGGGGCGGTTTCCTTAACCAAGGAACCGAGAGATCATGGAAGATCTAGGCATATCGACATAAAGTACCACTTCATAAGACATCAAGTAGAAGAGGGATACCTCGTGGTGAAGAGGATATCGTCAGAAGACAACCCAGCAGATCTCCTCACAAAAGGACTGACTAGGGTTAAGCACTTGCAGCATGCGAGGGGCATTGGGCTAACGGACGATATTAGTTTTAGTGATTAGATAAACCGAAATTTGTAATAGCTAAATTGTAATTGACATTTGATAATTGAATAAAAGGAGTTTTATTTACAAGTAAAGTTAGTGTCTTATGTCAATTATTTACTATTGTTTCACTTTGCATGTTTTGACTTCCAGAATAATAAAATTATTCAAACTATCCACAGTCGATCATACGTTGCAAGTATGTATGAAAGAAGACTGTAATGAGTTGGCTTGTAAGATTTTCTAAGGAGTTAGGCATAGCAATAGTTTGCTACACCAATCATGAGTACTTCTGAAATAAGATTTGAGTATTGGATTCAACCCGTGCTCAGTTGAATTACTTCATGGAATTTATCATGAGTAATTGTAAGACGATAATATCATATAATCTTCAAACTAAGATATATGAGTCGTTGACTACAAGTTGGTTGTGCATTGATGGCACGAAAACGCATCAGTAACTTGATGTTATAAAACGTGTCTTTGTGCATGATTTAATGAGTAGTTAGTACAAGCATATAATGTTGAAGTTTATCTGTTCCTTTTATCCTAAGAGGATTAAAGCGATATCTTGGGCTCCTCGATGATTCTGTTTTTACTATGTGTCGGTCCCGGTCAGAACTAATTTGATGTGTTCAGTTATGTTCTATGTCAGACAAATCGGAAATCGGGAAATAAACTGCTAGACAATAAGAATGACATTGTTCCATGTATTTGTCCGGCTCATATCTTGAGAATAGAGGAGTATATGATCCCTTATCTAAAGGATGCATCACTAACTAGGTCAGAGTTCGACAGCAGCTTTTGAAAGCTTACGATTGCTAAGTCAGATTCTAGAGTCACATTGGCAGCTATAGTTATTAGACTTATCTAAGTGGGAGACTGTTGGATTTGATGTCTAAGCTTATAACTATAATTGGGATGTACTTGACCCGATTGTAGCATGGTCCTTTTGGGTTGCCTTCACCAGTGCAATTTGATAGGATGGACTTTTGAGAATAAGGTTATTTATGATTTATTAATATATTTTAAGTTTAATATATTAATATGAAATCGTATTATTTAATTAGTATTGATCAAGAATTAATTTGGAATTAATTTTGTGGTCAAAATAGCCTAATTAAATATATGAGGATTGATTATGTAAATCAATGATTCTTATAAGTATGGGCCAATGATCCATGATTAATAAGATGGGCTAAAACCAATAAGGTAACCCATGTATAGTCCATGGAGGTTAAAACCCATGGAGCATAAGAATGGGAAAAGTCATGGAGCATTAGAGTTTACAAAGTGTAACCCTAGCATTTGTCACACTATAAATAGAACCCTCATAAACCAAAATCGGTTACAACTTCTTATGGGGAAAGTAACCTATTCTCTAAAGCCCCCTCTTGCATATTGGTGTTTGTGAACCATTAGAGGCATCATCACACTTGAGGTGCTCAATCTTCCAAAGGTCAAGAACTCTACCCTATATAAGAGGTAAGCATCCAAACTAAGTTTTTATATTATATAGCTTCAATTGTATGCTAGCTAGGGTGAATGCTTTGGAAAACAAAATGCATGTATAATTAGAGAAATCATAGATCCAAATCATTTAGGGTTGCATGTGCACCATAGGAGTGTTATAGTGCTGAAAACCCAACACATTCATGGAAAGCTTCAAGGGACATTCATGGAATGTACTGGATTGCTTCAGTTTCCCTGGAACACATCAACGGATCACCTCAGCTAAAGAATCCGAATTTACTACCCCTGAATTGATGTTAACATTATTAAGGAAGTAATCAAGTAAATAAAGTAAAAGTACTTAATAATTATCACTTGGGCGCATGAGTAGAATCGTCCACTAGGGGTTTATATCATCGTTAACCTTCCACATGCACAAAACGATGTTATAAAGACGAAAGGTTTTACCTTTTCAACCAAAATGAGAAATGAAACCCACTAAGCCCTTCTTCTTAAATGAACCAAATGGAAGAGAGTTTAGTAAAAAGAGACTAAAATGTCATCATGTGCCATGCACACGAGGGAGGTTAACAGGAAGATAGAGATAATGTCAAGTACCATGGACCAACCTTTAGAGTTTAGTTTGGATTAGGATTAAGCTTGCAACATTTTCCCGAGTTTGACGAAATATACAATGAAAATGTAATGTTAGAGACCAAACATGTAATTTTGTCTACAAAACTATTCATTTAAGTCATGTTGTTGATTTGTTAATATGTTTTACCGGTAACTTTTATTAACATGCATGACATGTATGAGACGGCACATCATTAAAGGTTCTATGTACGTTGGGTTGATCACAACATTGCCATAACTAAACCACTTCGGTTGTGGTGACTTAGTAAGGCATGTTGAAGTTATGACTGATAACCTATTGACCTATGTTCAAATCCTAACACTACTCAGCCAGTGGTGATTGAGGTTGACTCCAATGCATTAGGTTATTGTCTCATATTTGCAGCAAGAGATTAGTCGGTGTGTGAAGGTGTGTGAAAGCTGACCTTGAACCTAGGGATGTCAAAAAGTCCCGTGGGACCCCATTCCCGTGGGGGCCCCGTCCCGTTTGGGGGATTTTTTTTTAAAAAATCGGGGGCGGGGGCAAGGTTAATCCCCGTTTTATTTTCGGGGGCGGGGGCGGGGGTAGGCAATCCCGTCCCGAAACCCCCATGGGGACCCCATTAATAAATTACACATATATTTATATATATTAATTATATAAATATAATAAACAATAACATGATTTTGAGCTTCCAAAATTCATCAAAAACATGTTTTTAAGTTGTTAGTATAATTTTTTAAAATGCTATAACTTTTTTATTTTTAACATGTAAAATTCTGCTATAAATAATTATTTGTTACCTAAAAAATAGCTTCTTTTAGCCTAAATAACAACTTCTTTTAGCCTAAAAAAGGTAGCCCAAATCAATCGGGGGCGGGGGAACGGGGGCGGGGAGAAGGCTGAACATTCCGGGGCGGGGGCGGGGGCGGGGGCGGGGGAAACGGGGAAATTTCGGGGGCGGGGGTGGGGGATGCACTCCCCGTCCCGTTTGCCCCCGTTGACATCCCTACTTGAACCGGCGTTAGGGAGGTTCCCATTTAAAAAACTAAAAAATAATAAAATAAAACCATTGCCATAGCTAATAAATTAACGATTACCTTGAGTACAACATTTATAAAAGAATGATACTATATAATTTAGAATAAATAAAATTTCTCAATGCACAACAATTGATGCTTTAAAATTTGTATTGTACAACTATATAATGTATAAATTGGTGTGTATTGTAAAAAACTGTTCTGTACAAACTCTAAAATAGATAGGAAGATAAAGGCATAAAAAGTATTAGGATATTTAATTTCTCTTGATTATTATATAACTTCAACCCTCACAATAAATGTTAAATCGTTATCTGTACTACAGTTTAATATTAATAAACTTCACGGGAGATTCTCTCTTCCCTAAAGATTATTTTTCAAATTTGATTCCCGAATAAATGGGGAATTTCCTTTGTGAATAGCTAAATTTATGCTATAGGCGCCGTTAATTGGGCAGCAAACCCAAAGTTCCCAATTCTTTGACATTCCATCCATGACAGATAACCAAGCGATGACGGGTAAGTTTGTACTTGACAATTTTTTTTTATTCTTTGAAAGTCATATGAGAAACCTGAATTATGTTGTTTATAATTCTTCTGATCGTTCGAGTTGATTTGGCGAAACTCAGTTTTCTATAACCGTTGCTAATTATCACATATCCCATGGGAAACAGAATGAAGAAACTGATGTGGCCATGCTTAAGTTAGCTTTTACCTTACAACTACGATAAAACAATTTTTTTAATCACAAGTTATGTTACCACATCAAAAACCTATAATAAAAGGAAACCCGGAGACTATTAGTATCGTCAAGCCGTTCTATGTTTCTGCTTGCCTTCTATTGTCCTTTGGAATAAGGTATTCATGTTTGTTTGCTTTTTTGTTTTGTTTTTTTTAATATAAGTACAGAGATATATGAGAGGATGTTTATAAGTTGTGTTGAAGAAGATAGAATCAGTAACTTGCCTGAACACTTGATAGACTCAATCTTAGAGTGGCTCCGAATTGAAGATGTTGCAAGGACGAGCATTATATCAAAAAATTGGAGATACAGATGGACCACAATGAGAAAGCTGGTTTTTGATAAGCCATTCTTCAAAAAAATTCTACATAAGAGAGAATTGGGACGTAATGGATTTTTAAAGCTCATAAACAAAATCTTGATCCTTCACAATGGCTCTATCTCGGAATTCTATCTCTATATACCAAACATGTTTCTTGAGAATTACAAAATAGTTGATCAATGCATGCAACTCTTATCAAAAAAAGGTGTTAAGGAACTCGTCCTTATGAATTCAAATAAACGTTACAATCTTTCTTCTCATGTGTTTTTTTGTCCAGAGTTGACAAAGTTAGAACTGGAGAACTGTTTCTTCAAGCCACCACTTGAGTTCCAAGGATTTCTCAATTTGAAAGAACTTTATCTCCACGATATTGATTTTGGGCCTAATATGTGTGGAACTCGTATTAACTTGCCACAGCTTGAGGAGTTGTACCTTTTACTTTGCATGAATGTTTACAATTTCAACATCAACGCCACAAAGCTGCTGAGTTTGAATGTTTCCTATTGTCCAGATGCCATGTTGCTCAGATTATTGGACAGTCCATCCATTATTGATCTTCAAATATCTTCACAGGCACCCAAAAAGGGTTTGGCACCAGTGGAAAGAACCAATTTGGCAAGGATGTTAAGTAACTTGCCCATAATTGAACTTTTAGATGTTGATTGTGATTTTTTTAAGGTAAGATACAAAAACCTTTGCTCTTCTTCGAATGGAGTTTGCACAAAGGGCTCCTAATTTTATTGTCTAATATAATACTCATATTGTCTAGTAAGTTAAAATCTCACTTGCATCTCACAGTATGGTATCGAAGAAATAATTCCAAAGTGGCTTCCACATGAGGTTAAGAGTTTAAAGTGTTTAGAGTTGCAAGATATTCAACTTGGTGATATGTCTCAACTTCATGGTGTTCTATGCTTGCTTCGAAACTCGCCAAACGTGGAAAGCCTGTCTATGACACTTTCAGATTCAAAGGTAAAATAAGGAGTGCTAAAGATATATTTATTTTCCTTATATTGTATGAATTGGATGCTAAACAGTTGTTGCATTTGTTATGTTTTCTTCAGGATCCAGGAGTTGATGAGGTACGAGCTTCAAATCATTTAGAATCCCCGAACTGCTTGGATTATACATTAAATAAGCTGCAAAACAGTGAAGATAACATCTGTAACAGGATCAAGACCAGAAATGCTTTTTATAAATCTTCTACTTGCTCATTCCCCTTCTCTTAAGAAGTTTAAAATCAGACCATATATATTTGCTTGTGATTCTCAAAAAAGACTTGACATTGGTAAGGATGTTATGCAGTTCCCTCGAGCCTCACCAAAAGCAAAGATAAAATTTAGCCCCAGTTTGTAATCCTGTGAGAATTTTCAGACATTTCAATACTACTTTATACTTTCATCCATACAAGCATAGTGTGATCATCTTTTTAACTTTATTTCCCTTGATTTATTTCCCATGGGTTATTATTTTGAAAAGTAGCAAATACTATTGATTTTATGGCATTTATGTTATTACTATCTGTCAAAAATAACCATCCTTGCTGACTAAGTGTTTTTTATGGCATTTTCAAAAGAGTTATGGCATCCTCTTCTTCAACAAAGCCCCTTGATAAAGTATTAAACTTGTACTTTGAAAACAAAATGATTTAGTTTACTTAAAATCACATAATGAACAACAACTATTTACTGCATCAAAGACAGAAGACACTTGCAACCAAAATAATACTTTGTTGCTGTAAGTTTTAATATGTATATACAGTGAAAGAGAAATTATGTTGACAGCTTTATACCAGAAACCGGCTTATTTTACCTATTTTCTTTGCTACCTTTACATTGTTCTTATTTGTACTTAATTTTTGCTTCCATGTGGTACATGTGTTAATATTTCTAAATAGTTGTACAAGAAATTTTATTAGTCTGCATGTTATATCAGTGAACAAAAGAGTATTTAAACAAATCAAACCTTCATCGATGGCTCTCATCTAGTCATAACCGAAGTAGCCAGACAAGGCATTTAAGAAAAGTAATTCAAAAGTACTTCTAATAGTATAATTAAACATTAACAAAAACCCAAGTATTTCAAGCTTCACCAAAACCTTACGAAACCAAAATCCTTGACAATACCCACTATTACATGTTAATGATTATTATAAACAATATAATTACACAAACCCGGACACTGAACAAGAAAAGCTTGATTCTTCGGTTCTATGCTACGAGGAAGTTGTTGTAAGCTTCCAGGGACATTCATGGAATGCAGTAGTCCTGGAATGGCTTCTATTTCCCTTGAACATATCTATGGACACATTGCATTAAAGGTTATATGTATGATTGTGTTGATTGCAACATTGCATATAACTAATAATTAAGGTGACGAGAACCTTCAGTAGAACGATTATAAGTACAATTAAGAAGTTTATTATCTAATTTAAAAAAAAATAAATGCTATGCTATTGTTTATTATATAACCTTGAACCCTCACCATAACCTTTAAACAATGTTTTAAAAACCGTTTTTTAGTTGAACCGGTATGGTGACCGGTTCCAGTTCAATCGGTTTAACCGGTTCGATCGGTTTCATTACAAGAAACTATGTCTTTAGCGGTGACACAATTACCGACGACACAAGCTTTTAACGGCGACAAATGGTAGAGTCACCGCTAAAAGCATGTGTCGCCGGTAATTGTGTCGCCGCTAAAGGCTTTTCACCCGAATCCGCGTTATCCCCTTGTGATAGATCTCAGCCGTTCGATCGAGTATCTAATCCAACGGTTGGGGCCTCTTATCCGCACAAACCCAATACCGTCGACATTTTGTCGCCGCTAATAGTGGTCTAAAAAATGACGCGGTACCCTTCCCTCCAGATAGTCACCGCTGTTAACGAGTGTCACCCGTAAAGCCTAAATAGTCGCCGCTAAAGGCTATTGCAGATAAAAAGAAAAAACGGACGCATTCTGCTCTTTTGCTTCTGTGTTTGATCAATTAACGATGCTGCTCTTCTTGCTTCCTGGATCGATTACAATGATTCCAACAATAAATCTTCCCACATTGTGAGATTAGGGATCAAAGGTGTTTAGGGCTTCAATTAAACGGGTTAACTCACGATTTCTAGCTCCATCTCGGGAAGAAAGGTAACTTCAAGTTCTTATATCTTTTTGTCTTCGAGCAATACTTGATATGTGTATATTTAGTCATATATTTTGCATAGAATGTTAATACTTTTTGGCTAATTTATTACAATTATGGAACAAAAGATGCTTAATTATGTTTAAATTATATTTTCAGTCCAAAAGAAGTGCTTGGAAGCAAAAGCAAGCAGGAGCAGCTGTCGGGAGCTCGGGAATCAATGAAAGAAGAAAAGAGCCAAAAATCACAAGGCACTCGGCGAGTCGGGCCGTGACTCGACGAGTTCCCACGAAGGTTCTCGAAGCAGAGGAATCCTTGCCTTGCCAGACACGGGGATTTAATGAGGGACTCGGCGAGTCTGTACCTAGACTCGACGAGTCGACTCTAATCTATAAAAAGAGACTTCCAGATCGACACCCGATTTTTTTAAGAAGTCCTTGGAGAGAAAGCTGCGAATAAGAGTTCTTTTGGAGCATGAGAAGTCAGAGAATCAACCTAGATCTACTTTTGGAGGAGAATTAAGGCAAAATCAATTTATTCTTTACTAAATCTAGTTTCCAAAACATGTTTGACTTATTAGATTGTGTTTTTGAGCTTTTTACTGTTTTAATCATGAACTAGAACATATATCTTTTGTTTAGGGAAGACAAATTTGTGACTATGTGTTGATTTATGAGTAGGATTAATTTTCGTTGGTAATAATGTTTTGTTAAGCTTGTTAAAGAACCTTATGTGTTAATTATAACTATTTTCTGTTAATTAACATGCGATTAAGTTGCATGACCATCTCTTAATTGCTAACCTCATATGATGCATGTAAAAACATTGTTATATACCTAGGAATAGCGAACGTGAAACTAGGGTTAATAGAAAATAGGAAAATTAATGTGTGAGCTTGTATGACGAACCATCAGCAAGAGGTTAATTAAAGGACCAATTTAGTTAACCACTACAAGTCTTACTTAATCCGAATAAATAAACTAGGAAATTCATTAATTTAGGCAACTGGCCACTGCTTAGATTAATTTGTTTTCTAAGGATTAGTAATAGCGAACGTGAACCTAATCATCTTAATCGGTAGCCAATATAAATTAATCCATTGCACTTTTCATAGAATCAACCATAGGATCAAATGAGTCAAACCTAAGCAGAAGACTCTTCCACCATTGAATTTAGTTGATTTTTGCTCTCTAGCTGTTAATTGTTTTGTTTGAGTTTTAGTTACAAATTTAAGTTCTCTAGTCTTGCAAAACTAGAGAAAACCCCTCCTTTTATTATTTGTTTTTAGATAGTTTTAGTAATTAGTTTAATTGCCGTTCACTGAGTTCGATATCCTGCTTACTAAAAACTATACTTACATTAGATAGGTACATTGCCTATTGTGTGTCAAATTTACATTAGAAAAGTAGGAATAAAACTAGTTGGTTTCACACACATCAAGTTTTTGGCGCCGTTGTCGGGGAACTGTTCAAAATTTAAATTGATTGCTATTGTTATCGATCCTTTGTGTGAGATTTGTCTTGCACAAAGTTACTGTTTTAAGTAGATTAGGTATTAGCAATAATTCTTAGTTTCAGCTTTTAGCAAATTTGTTTCAAAAAAAAAAATTTTGTTTGGGCAGTGAACTCGCCGAGTCCCTACGAACAGACTCGACGAGTCCATAGCTGAACAGGAAATTTTGTTTTTTTTTATTTTTTTGTTTTGTTCTTTTTACGCGTGTTTCTTGTTTTGATTTCAGGTTTACATGACCCGAGGATCCAACACACCTTTGGTCCTTCCATTTGAAGACCCGGAATCCGCACTTAGGAAAACCAAGGATAAAGTAATTGAAGACAATCACCCGCCAAAGAAATCGCCGTTCAAAGACCTCAAATCAGTTTTTGGGAAGAAAAAGGACAAGAAAGCAGGTGAGGCCAGCAGTCAACAAAGCGAAGGAAGTAAATTAGAAAGTTTTGAAGATAATACAAAAGAAGCCGAGATCGAGTACGATTACGACTCTAAATCTGAATAAGAAAGCGATTTTGAAGGCGAACCAGCTAACCCCATGGCTAATATCGATGAAGTTCCCATGGGAGAATGGAAGAATAGGATACGTGACGATATCGGCCCGGGATTTGTGCAACCCGTCATTCCCGCTACTGCCACTTTCGAACTAAAGGGCCACATACTTGCTCAACTTAAGGAAATCCCCTTCTATGGGAAAGATCACGAAGACGCCTACAAGCATTTGGATGAGGTCAACGATGTAGCTGATTATTTCAATGTTCCAAATGTGCCTCGTGAAACCGTGCTGCTTCATATGCTTCCAGTTACATTCAAGGGTGTTGTAAAGGATTGGCTCAAATCACTACCACCAGGATCCATCATTACATGGGCTAAAATGAAGGAAGAATTCATTGATCAATTTTGTCCTCCCTCAAAGATAGCCAAATTGAAGAAAGCCATTGCCAACTTTGAGCAACAAGCTGGAGAATCCTTATACGAGGCTTGGGAGAGATACAAAGGTTTACTAAGGAATTGCCCACATCATGATCTTAATAGCCAACAAGAAGTCTCCATTTTCTATGATGGAGTGAATGTGACCACAAGGCAACTTCTTGACTCGCAAGGACCACTCACGAAGAAAGCACCCCCACTGATAAAAGAGCGAATTGAAGAATTCTCTAAACACTCTATAGAATATCATAACCCAAGGAATGAATTAAGTCGGGGGGTGGTGAACTCAGATAATGATAGTATGGTGGGAATGATGGCTAAATTAGATAGTTTGGATCGAAGAATGACTAATATGGACCAATCCATCCACGCTATCCAGGTGGGATGTGAGAATTACAAAGGGCCTCATCTCACTAAAGATTGTGATCTTGACGAGAACGGGAACCGGAAAGCACAAGTGTGCTATTCAAGTAGTGATAGGTACGATGACAACTGGTGAAAACCCAATAAGGATTGGCTTCCGTATGATGAGTATAAAAAGGAAAAGGAGGAAAAGTACAAACAAAAAGATAGAGGCTTTTATCAAAAGGAGCAACCGGTGCAAGAAAAGAAATCAGATTTTGAAGACATGCTCACGAGATTTGCAGCTGCAACCGAGAAGAGACA